TTAATTAAATTTAATTAATCAACGAATACATTTTTTTATTTGTGGTGTTTTATCCTTGAAATACTTTGTGTCGCAGTTATGATCTAATATGATCATTACCACATGTTAGAAAAGTGACTGAAATAGCAGCAGATTCATGCAGTCACATGAATAGTTACATCAACATTTTTATTATTATTTCAAATGACTACTTATTCACTGTGAAAAAAACCCACACACTATAGATTTGTGCCCTGTGTGTGTTTACACTGTGCCACTCTGCACTTTCCAGAGAGGCTGCTGTTCTCGTGCTTCACAGTAAATATGCTGTGACTAGTGCAGAGATTGTATATACAGTATTAATCACCACATCTTCTGATCGATACTCCACCCAGCTGTTTTGCACTTTGCACTGCTACACATGCATGAACCAGAATAATACACCAGCTTGGAGATGCTCAGACAATTGGCGCACCGAAGATATACCACCTTGTGCTTGTCCTTGATCTTGCACAATTAAAATTGAGTCCTTTATCTTTTTAGAGGATAATTCTGGATATTTTGACCCAGTGATTAATTTCCCAAGCTTCTGCCATCATTATAATCAATCCTGATCCAAATGTAATCACTTCCTCTGCTGTATACACCAAAAACAAACAAGTCCTAAATAAGTCTGGTTAAAAGAGATTACTGTAAACATGTTTACTCTATATTAATTATTATAATTTTTAATTCTACATTTATTCTGTATCTTAATGCCACCAAATCCCATAAAAAGACCCAAACCAACAAATGTTTCTCTACACATTGTCTCACCTCCCTACCCTGCCACCACGGGTGCTTATTCACCAAGCCTGTCCCAGGCCACTTTACTGTCAGGAGCACAACATGTTAAGTAATTGCAATTTTTAATTTATTTACTGACTGCAGATATAAATGAGTCCAGCTGCAGTTTGTGTGATTTGCATAAATATGCTGTGAAGCTGGACTGTTTTTATGCATGTTGCACTTGTCTGGAAAATAATGGGCCACAAAAGAAAGCATTTTCTGCAGCTGAACATTTTTGGAAGTACGCAAGAAGAAGGTTGTACTGTATGTGAGAAAACAACAGTTAAATGACTTGCTATTGTTTGCTCAACAAAAGGATCAGAGATTGGCTGAGTTATGGAAAACCAGCGACTACACTTTGTGGGCCTTTAAAAGTCAGGAAAAATAGGCAGGATGCAACTTGGGTGAAAAATAACTGCCCCATCTTTTGTCTTGTGTCAAACTTGTCTCTCTGTCCCTGTCTCTCCCACTCACTGTTTTGCTACAGCTGTAGTTTCTCACCCTCAGTCAGTAATTTCCCAAACAGCTTGTTACTGTAGTTGGGGACTATTTGCAGCAGCCGAACATTGTGTGTCAAAATAAACTACATGGTAATGAAGGAACATGGCATCCAGTGCAACAGTGTGGGTCACCGAGATGTTTTTAATAGAGCTCTGGGGCACAGAGTAACAAGCTATATCAGGCTGTGGATACACACACAATATACTTTTGGTTTGGGTCTGCATATGAGATTTGTCTGTTATTTAAAATACATTCGAAACATGGGCAAAATAAAACATTTTGTAGCTGTAATGTGTATTCATAAAAAAAATTTGAAGGAGCAATTTCTTATTCACATAGGTTTACCACTGAATTCTCTGAGACATTTTTACATTAGATAAACAGTTTTACTTAAATGGCATGACCCAACTGACTGGTGGATGAGCAGCATTGTTCACTTTGTATTTTCAATACTTTTATTAATGGGTACAATTGGAATTATTAAACTAAATTTGTTCTTTAACAGCACAGTAAACTTTATTAAAATCACTCATCACCCTGCTGTCATCTTCCATGTCCTACTATGTCTACCTACCTTCCTTGACAGGGATTGCAGGCTTCTTCTGCCTCAGACCCAGGAGGATGAAGAAAAGGACCAGCGGGATGAAGATCTCAAAGGCCAGCACCCACTGCATGGAAAGGAAACAGAATAATAAACATTAACTGTGCTGCATTTCCAACTAGACAGCACTCAGAGAGTGAAAACCTCCACCAAGGCAGATCAGTTTCCACATATTACCATGATAGTTTGACCCTCATCATATGAGATGTGTGTCTGTCTCTTTGACTGAGTGCTTAGCTCCATTGCACAGTACCAGCCTACTTCAAGCACTGCCTGCACTGCTGTAGAGAAACTGCTTAGTCTCTCAGCCTCCAAATCCAAAAAAATGTAACTCGTTTTCATACACAGAGCTCATTAGACTCCTCGTTAACTACATAAAATGTTTGTTTTCTTCTTGTTCACAACAGTTCAGTACAATCAGTAGAACAAACATCATGTGGGTTTAGTGGGCATTTTGACTACAGGGAGAGAAAATATGTCACATTTTCGCAAGTTTGTTGTTATGTTCTCTTATACTTGATGTCTGATTAATTACTCTGTCTATTACTGTTGGATTTTGTTGCACATATGAAGTGTTGATGTCTCAGTAAAATAAGACCTCATCTCTGTTCTGCTATGTGTGTCTATGAGCGCTCCTCCCTCCCCGTCTCAGACACAGAATAGAGAAGCAGAGCTCACAGACCCTGTTTACACTTTGTTCTAATATGTATCTTAATGGATCCTGGGTGACTGGCTCACAAGAGACAGCGCAAAATACAAGTATAAACGACTATTGTGATCCGATCACTGAAACTATTTGCCAAGGTGGTCTGGGACACATTTGACCACATATCTACTTTAGTGTAAACTGGGGGTGGGAAATTCTGGTCCTACCCACTGCTGATTGCCTGTGGGTAGGACAGGGACCGTTGGAAAATAAGCAGGGCAACAGCCCTCCAGGACCGGAATTGCCCACCCCGATGTAAACGATAATACATCCCGATGTGTCTCCAACAAGGCTGTTTGGGGAAAATACATCATCGAAGCAGGACATGGTGGTTAAGTGAGAGTGAGCCAACAGTCAAAAAAGAAAAATGCAGACAAATGTCCAATACAAATCTACTGTATTGTGAAACCTTTAATAAAAGATTAGATACATTTATTGATAAACATAAAATCCTCTCTGATTGCCAGTATGGTTTTAGGTCGAACCGGTCGACATCTTTGGCCATTA